CCCCCACTGCTTCCCTTCTCGTCACTCATGTCATGAGCAGAACAAAAGCGGAGGATTCGTTTTGTTTGTCGGAGAAACCTAGATTTAGTGTTTAATGTATTATCTTATTATCATTTCAGTCATTGTTCTTTTAATTTTATAGCTTTGGCAGTGTTCGGGAAAATTTGAAAAAAAAAATTATTTAAAATAAATTTATAGTGTGCTGCGTTGATAAACAATATCATAGTAGAATCTAACTTACATGTGCTCTTTGAGCATTGTTTTCGTTCACTCAATTTTCATATTATTTTGTATATGCTGATGTAGTATTTGTTTGTGCTTACTGTTGGTAGATTATGGCCTCTTTTCATGCCTTTCATTTCATTCAAGCTAATAGAGTTTATCATAAATTGTTACTAAAATAGTTTTTATGACAGGTGAAGGCTTGCTATAATGCTTTAAATAGAAATACTTAATGTGTGTATAATTGAATGAAATATCTTAATTACAGGAAAATTTGATACTAAGAGTGTTTGAAAGTGCAGTTAAAATGTATTTAAAAAAATTAGTTTAAATTATTTTTTTATATTTTTTAATCATTTTAGAAACCATTTATTTGGGAGGTTGTGTCTGTATTTTATTTAAAATGTAAGCATAACATGTTTGGTAATTAAAAAACATAATTTACTGTTCATGGAACCTATTGAAATTTATGTTTGTAACGCAAGGACAGAGAAAGCAATGTTGAGCTGCTTCTATAGAGAGTGACTCCAAGCATGTTTGGAAGCTTTGTTACGGTTGCGTTTTAAAGTGTTTTTCACTCGGAAAAATATATCAATAATTTTTTTATTTGTAAAAAATAATTTTTAAAATCAACACATTAAAATAATTTAAAAACATCAAAAATATATTAATTAAAAGCAAAAAAATCATTTTTTTTCAAAAACACTTTTGAAACGCGGTGTTAAACACACCCTCTACTATTTATGTGAACAGTGGAGTCACCCTCCACTATTTTAGCCAGATTTCGATCGGTTCAAAGTCAAATGCATTGAACTAGATCAAATCTAGTAAAATAATTTTTTTTTTATTGTGTTTTATTCAAAAGAATTAATGTTTAATATTATTCAATGACACTACATAAATTAAACAGAAATCCTTTAATGACATAATAGTTAAAACATTTAATCACAATCTCAATTTTATTCTTGATGATATTGCGTACTTAAGAAACCAAGGAAATTATAGTTTTTATTAGATATATTTTATACGTGATAGAGTTGTAAATAGTTTAATGGAACAATAAAAAATATTTTATAAAAAATATTATTTATTTCATGATGTAATAACAGTAATTAAATCTATAATATCTAAATTAAAAACCATTAATATTAATATATATTTTTAAAATTATTTTATAATCTCAATTTGAAAAGTATTTTTAACCAAACGCAATAAACTACTTCTTTTTTTTTTACTTCAATTTCAATAACAATTCTAATAAAACATATATAAATACCAAACTAACCTCAACCAAAAGTATTTTTTATAAAATAACTTTTTTCCAACCACAACCACAGAAACTATCACAATACCAAACACACTACACAAAATTTAATTTTCTTAAAAAATTTAGTTTAATATATTTTTAAGATAAAAAAAAACTAAAAAACCTTTACCACACTCTTAAATAGGTTCATTATCTAAAATTCATTGTGTTTGGAGAAAAAAGACATAATAAAAAATTTTAAAACTCAGTTAGTAATAGAGTAATATCCTGGGGACGAAATTGAAGTTTGACGCTGTTGCTTTTTGTCACAGAACTAGACAAGGAAGAAAAAAGGTTATTCGTGGAGAAAGCAACACGTGGATATCCAGCACGGCATGGGGCAATTTATGGTGACAGATAGAGGGGCGGAAGGGTAATCTGAATAGAATAATGGGGGGCAGCCTTTATTCTGACTTTTTGTTTGTTTCTCTATGGGTTGATGGATGGATTTACGGTTGGCCGTGCATTTTCATTCATAGCCATAAGTAGAAATTGAGATAAATATGTAGCGTACAATTTTTTTTGACAAAAATAGGTGGAGGATGATTTTATTTTTCTGAAATAAAAAAATAAAAAATGTATTTTATATAATGTAAAAGAAAAAAAATAAATTTAAAATGATGAAAAATAATTAATAATAGGTGAGAAAATTTTGAAAATAATAAATATAGATGAATTTATGCTATCTCAAATGCTAAATATGAAAAATATAGCAATAATAAAATTCAAGAATGTACTTGTGTTTTCGGACCATGATCTTAAAATACATACATACATACATACATATATATATATATATGTATTTGAATTTTTTAATTATGTTTTCTTTATATATATATAGCATTATTTATAAAATATCAACATCAATTGAGAGATATTGATGACACTAAATCAATTCACCAGCTAAAAAAAGAAATAATATTATTAATCAAGTGCTCTAAGCCAAAGTAGAAGTAAATTATTTCCATCAATTACATAAATGGTATAATCAATTAAGAAGATACAAGCATGTAATGCCATGTTTTTTGCAATGATTTGTTCTCTATTTTAATTTCATGTGGAAGGGGAAAACATAATTGAAGTCTTCAATGCAGCAAATCTTACTCTCGACAATGATTTGTTCATGTTTTGTTGTCGTAAGAATCTTGCTTGGTGCATGCGTGGATTTACTAATATATATATACTTGTGGGTGATATTTATTAAAGGATTTTAATGGATGTGTGTGGTATTTTACAGGTCTTTTTTTTAAATTTAGGTAATTAATCTGTTTATTATTAATCTTAATTTCACTAACCAGAAAACCTGTTAAATTTACAAGAAATTAAAACTCCAATTACAAAAACACATGTAGCTGACTCATAATTAAGGAACCTACTAGTATTAGTTTGGTAGCACCAACTTGCATTCATTATTCTGTACACTTTTAATATTAAATATTTTGATTTAATTTATACATTTCAAAATTATATAAGGAAAAAATAAGCATAAATTTCTGTTGTGTTTTCTTTTATTTTCATTTATTATTTTTGGATTAATCATCAACTTGCATGATCCCATTTTAATCATTTTCTTCTATTTTGTTTCCAAACATCCAAGAACCGAACGTGAAGGAAACGACATGAACTTCCTTTAATGTGAACATCCTAAAATCAAAGAGACTTTGAAGGCC